ACCCCAAAATACATTACGGCAAAGACTGGTTCATCCCAAAGATCCAGTCCCCCGGCACAAACAGAGTAATATTGTGTATGCTGTTCAGTGTCAGGAGGGCTGTGATCAGTCTTACATCGGGGAAACTAAACAGCCACTGGCCAAAAGGATGGCCCAGCACAGAAGATCAACATCATCAGGCCAGGACTCTGCGGTCTACACTCATCTCCAGGCCAGCGGTCACTCTTTCAGGGATGAAGATGTTCACATCCTGGACAGAGAGGAACGATGGCTTGAGAGAGGAGTAAAGGAGGCCATCTTTGTGAAAAGAAACCGTCCATCGTTAAACAGGGGTGGAGGCCTACGTGTTCAATTGTCCCCCTCTTACAATGCTGTGATTGCTAGTATCGCTCAGCCCTCTGTGAATAGTAAACAGCCATCAGTGTGCTAATGATCCATTGTTGTCCTTCTGGTCCTTCTTGAGCATGTGATCAGCTGGTTTTGGTTGTCAGCAGCAAAACTGGTTGATCCACTCTGAGAAGGCGCTATTTAAGAGACTGAGCTGAATACAGCACCTCAGACTGAGGAAGTCTCTCGGACGAGAGATGAAACGTTTCTACATTTTTTGTTGTTTTGCTTTGGTTTTTTTTTTGTTTTTTTTGAATGTCCAGAGGACCAGATTTAACTTTTTTAGAATAAGAAATAAACTCACAATATTATATAATTTAAATGATAAATGGACTGTTATATAGCGCCTTTCTATCTTATCGAGATACTCAAAGCACTTTTCACAATCTGTACCCATTCATACAGCACTCTAATATTTCTGTACAAAGACTAATCAGTACTTTTAGATCACATTCATACACCAATGGGACACACATCGGAAGCAATGAGGGGTTCAGTTAGTGTCTTGCCCAGGGTCACTTCAGCATGTGATTTCTGGTGGAATCGAACCCCCAACTCTTGCATTGGAAAATGACTGCTCTAACCACTCAGCCACAGCTGCCTACGTATTTAAGAAATTATATATAATATTTACATATATTATTTAAACTACAAGGTTGGTCAGTTTATGTGTGCACTTTCTTGGAAGTGAAATTGTAACTAACTTGAATGCTTAGGATTACACTTGTTACAGCCTGTTGGAAGCTTGATTTTGTAATATTGCTGCTGAGAAGGTAATCTTTTGAATCAACTAGATTTAACACTTAAGTATTTTTGTATTTTCTGGTAGTTTTTATTTTTTAGTAATCTCTAGTAGCTATTATCAACATTTTGTATCATAAATTTAATAATCGTCAAATCGTTAAGATATAATGTAGTCTTCTGTAGCTTTAATAACACATAGACAGTCTCAATTAGTTTATTTCTACATTAATGGCGTTGCCAGGTTTCAAGTTTTCAAGTTTTGTATATTTGTCATATTAACAAAGACAAATAAAGAACCTTGAATCCTTGAATATACAGCTTAACACAAGGTCAGCAGTACAATGAAATGTTCAGGATGAGAAGAACCGATTAGACGTGCTAAAAACAAAGAACAAACAAACAAGAAATGCTAAAGCATTCAATAAGGGTACAAAATAAAGTATCAACAAGTGAAGAAGTAAATATCATATTTATGAGGTCCAAAGGAGAAATAGTAAACAACAACATGGTAGAATATAATTGAGCAAGTTGGATGCATTTATATGAGTAAGTATTTCAAGTTAGTAATATAAGCTTAAATTAACATGTTCTATATTTCACATAACTAACATATACTACACTGGTTGTGTGACAGGTTATTGCACAGGTAGTGACTCACTAAACAGATCTATAGACGATACCATAGCATTCCTCCTCCACAAAACAATTCCGCATGTGGACTCCAGGTTGGGAAACTATTTGAGAGTGCTGTTTGTTGATTACAGCTCAGCCTTCAACACCATAGTTCCCTCCAGGCTGGTCACCAAGCGGTCTGATCTTGGACTGAAATTTCCACCTGTGTAAGTGGGTCCATAGCTTTCTGACTGGCAAATAACAGGAAGTATGTTTGGGTGACCGCACACATCATCACACCTTACCCTCAACACCAAATCCCCCCAAAAGTGTGTGCTGAGCCCTCTGCTGTACTTGCAGCACACCCACGACTGTGTCCACATCAGGCAGCAACATTTTAATTGTTTTCTGACACAACTGTTGTGGGGTTAATCTCCCACAGTAATGAGAACAAGTACAGGAGAGAAGTCTCCCACCTGGAGAGCTGGTGTTGGGAGAATACCCTCCTGCTGAATATCAGCAAAGCTAAGGAGCTGATTGTGGACTTCAGCAGGAAACAGGTTGACACCTGTCTGCTCTAGATCAGTGGGTCTGAGGTGGAGAGATGGACCATTTCACTTATCTTGGAGTGACCCTTACACAGGGCCTGTCCAGGGTCACTAAAGAAGAACAGGCAAGAAGGCCAGACAGCGTCTCTTCCACCTCAGAGATCTCAGACTTCAGGCTCCCACCCAACATGCTCAGGAACTTCTGCACTTGCACCATTGAGAGCATCTTGAGTGGGAGCATCACAACCTTGATGGGCAGCTGCACCAAAGAGGACTTGAAAGCTCAAATGGGTGGTCCGCTCAGCAGAGCAGACCACCCTACAGGACATTTATTATAAGATGCAGGTTGAAAGCCGAAAAGACCCTTAAACAACCCAACCACTCCGGACATTCACTCCTCTCTCTGCTCCCATCAGGCCGAAGGTTTTGCTGCCTGAGAGCACACACAGAGAGAATGAGTAGCTTCTTTCCTCAGATTATCTGCCTGCCCAACTCTGAGTATTAAGAAAGAGGAAAACCAAACCGAAATAACGGACCCATATTTGCATTGCATCATTTCTTCCTCTTGCACCTATCACATCCTGTTTGAGTGTTATTTTTCTATATTTATTCCTTTTCCTTTAATTCCCTGTGTGACTTTACTTATTTGCTGATTTTTGGATGCAGGTACAATAACAAATTTCACTGCATATTATACTATGTGTGACACATGCAGCAAATAAAGTTTTATCTATCTGACCTGTGCCACCAACAAACATGGTTATATTTGTTTGTGGAACGGGACGTTGGATTGTCAGAAATAGGTTTTGTGTGATAAACCTCTTTTCTCACTCAGGAGCCAGTCTGTGGGGACCACTAAAAGAGCTATGGGAGACAGTTGATGCAGCTGTACTGAAGAGACAACCAGAGAATGTCCACCTTTTGGATTTGCAACTAAAGAAACACAAACCACACTTTCTCTCGCTCTTTAAGAATCCGGTGAGACAATTTGCGTGCAAGCCAGCTTTTGTATTTGTTTCCTTTATAATTATATTCATGCTTTTTTCTTCTCATCTTGTGCAAACTACATTCCCTAGTGTCACCACCAGACTAATAGATCCTTATACAGTGTTTATTTGAGCTTCTGTTGTCAATTGCTCTTGTCAATGTTTTTAGCCAAAGAGTGCAGAGCAGAGAGAAAAGGTGCGCAAAGCCAGCACAGAAGGCATCGCAATTCAAGGGCAGCAGGGTTCACGGCTTCTTCCAGAACAGCTTCTGACGGAGGCCTTCATCCTTAGTGATCTTTTTGACATTGGGGAGTTGGCAGCTTTGGAACTTCTTTTGGCAGGTAGAGTTAAAAACAACAACAAGAAATGGCTTGATATTATTTATAGAAAGTTTTTAATGGTAGTTTTGAGGCTGCATTTTCTATTGGAGACGGCAACATTCACTTTAATTATTACTGGATATTTTGTTTTTGTTCTGATCATACGTGTCGTAAAGCCTTTATTTACAGGCACTTACATTCATAAAATAATATTAATTGGCATTTTTTTCACCAGGTGAACAACAACAGCCCCATTTTTCAGGCCTGACACGAGGTCTGGTGGCTGTTTTACTCTACTGGGATGGAAAGCTTTGTGTGGCCAACTCTTTGCGCACACTCATTCAGTCACGCCACGGCAAAACCTTCACTTTGGATTTAAGGTGATTTTAAAGAGCAGTATTTCCAGAGTATGATCGCTGTGTTTAAAGGCTGAAACATATTGTCAGTGACATGAAATTCTTTTCATTGTTCAGATGTTTTGATGACGTATTGTTTTGTTTTTTCAGTGGAGAGTTAGTGGCTTTGACAACACGCTTTACAGATGAGCTGATGAGTCAGGGACTGACCAAACGCATCCTTACCTTAGTGTCGGAGATAAGTGTAACACGGGAGTTTGAACGGCTACAGAGGGAGCGCGGCTTAGGCAATGAAAAGCACAGGAAAGAGGTAGGAGCAATCATTGCTTTTAAGAAAAAGCCATAATTATTATCCACAAATGTTTTTATTTCTTTAATAACAATCACTATGTTATTGCACCTGAGGTAGGTGTATGTACTTGAAGTAACTGAGCAAGACCTATTGACACAATTTGCTTGCAACTTTGTCACCAGGTTTCTGACCTCATCAAAGAATGCCGACAGGCACTGGCAGACAGCTTGTTTTCATGGACTTGTCAATCACCCTTGACTAAAGAGGACACATTGGCTCTCATTGGTTATTTGGAGACCGTGACGGCTCAAGCTGATGGTTCACTGAGCAGCGTGAGCCTCGCTCTGGTTATGGCTCTTCTTTACTGCTTGGACGTCAGCTTTATAGAGCAGGGAACTGAAGACAGAGAAGGTGAATGCATATCAATAATCCTGTTGAAGAGGCTATATACAGTAGATCCTTTAACAAAAACTACTTCTAGCTCTGAATTAAACTTTTACTAGTGCAACTTTTGGTTATTTATTTCAATTACAAGTATAGACAAATTGATTTTGTTTGTGTTTTGTTCCTAAAGATCTTCTCCAGGCATTGCCATTGCTGACAGAGAGGCAGTATGTGTCTGCAGTGCACAGTCGTCTGATGGACAGCCAACCTTGGAAGCTCCCGGGGCTGCAAGCTGTGTGTCGGCTTGCCTGGGCTCTGTCTCTCAGAGTTCTGTCACAGCTACCACAGGGCTCAGGCAAGTCTTGTATATTTTTTTTGACTTGCATTGAAAGTTTAAAAGTGCATTCTAGCTGTTAATTAAATTTTCATGTTACCAACATAGTTTTAGATTATAATGTTTTTGTGGTTGCTGTGCAGCCCTTGTTGAGTTCACTGAAGCAGACGAGGCACTGGCCGATCAGGCTCTGTTGGGAGATGTTTTTCTGTTCATGAAGGAGGGCATTTTGGGATGCGAGGGTTTTGCCCAGGAAGAGTTTTATATCCGCCGCCTCCATTCACTCATAACAGACTTCCTGGCGCTTATGCCGATGAAGGTAGGAGATTGTTTTCTATTCACTTAAACTATAAAGCTATTTGTCATGCTGTTAACTGAAACTTAAGTTTATTTATTTGTTTATTATTATTATTTTGTTCTCCCTGTAGATAAAGCAGCTTCGTAACCGTGCAGATGAAGATGCCCGCCTGGTGCACATGTCTCTACAGATGGACAGTGAACTTCCATCATCGTTGCGGAAGGACTTAGATCATCTTATGATTCTGGTTAGTTTTGATAACATCAGATGAGCAATATTTAATCAAACAGTAGCCAACAAAAAAAAAACCTAAAGGAAAAATTGCTGCTGTACTTTGTCATTGTGGTTTCAGATAGGGGAGTTTTACAGTAAGGATCCATTTGGATTGGAGCTGGGTCTGGAGTTCTGGTGTCCCACAGAATCTCTTCAACATACTTCACTGCATGGATCCTATATGGGCATGGCCCTGCAAAGACCTCCTCACAAACAGGTATTTGTTTGGTCTTCTCAATCAAAGTTGAAGCTCAATGTTTTGCTGTGAAGAATGAGAGCATAATAAGTAACATTGTGCATTATTGTTGCAACATTGTGTCTATACGTCTTTCCACTGAAAGTTTTTTGTTGTTGTTTTGAAATTCAGGTGGTTTTGTCCAAGTTTGTGCGTCAGATGGGAGACCTTCTGCCATCCACCCTTTATATTTCTTACCTTCGCATGCTAAAAGGCCTCGCCAACGGTCCGCAGTGTGCTCATTACTGCTTCAGTCTTCTTAAAACTAATGGAGCTACACACAGTAAGACCAGACTGTTGCCCTCAAAGTCTTAATTGTATATTTCAAAGTAGAAATTGTATCTTGTGAAACTAACATTTTTTGAAGAGGAAACTATCAGAAAAAAGAAACTGATTATTATGGGGAAGTCCAAATGGCAAATCCAAACAAATTATTTCTGTCAATATCTTTTAAGGTGAAATTTAAATTTATGTGCTCTGATAATCAACCTGAAGAAGTTTGGTCTTAATTAATATGCACTAATCTCTTACATGTGCAGATGATAACATCCAGGGAGTTTCAGGCAGTCCAGTGTCCTGGGAACATTTATTTCACTCCCTCATGCTGTACCATGAGAACCTGCGACAAGACCTTCCTAATCCAGACTCGGCACACTACCGCCACCTGCCACTCAGGGGCATCACACAACGAGAGCTGGAAGGGCTTACCTCTTTTCTGCATTTACTCACCACAATTATAACCTGGGTATGAGACAGCTTGTAGAAAATATAATGGTCATATTTGTAAAGTTACAAATAAAACGATGTGTATTTTAAGAGATTGATTTAAATGTTTTTGTTTATTCTTTTTTTTTCTTTAGAGTGAAAATGCTCGTCTGGCATTGTGTGAACACCCACAGTGGACCCCAGTGGTGGTGATGTTGGGGTTGCTGCAGTGCAGCGTTCCACCTGTTTTAAAGGCCGAGCTCCTTCTCTCACTTGCGGCCTTTGGAAAATCACCCGAGATTGCTGCTTCACTTTGGCAGTCGCTGGAGTACACACAGGTAGAACTGAACTATTTTAATTCTTACATGGATGAAAAATGTGTCGTTTTGTAAAGTGGACATAATTACTTAGAATTTGATTTATACATTAGTTTTATCCACTGAAAGATCTGATGAAAATGCGACCACATAATACACTTACTGTAAGACAATGCTTTGAGTGATTTTTTACATTGACCTTTACGCAAAATATTATATTTATAAATGGAAAAAATGTTGGAATTTATTACATAAGAGCTTGCTGCTCTAATATTTACCAGTAATGCAGTTTGAAGAGAAGGATGTTTTGCTTTTAAAGTTTTTCAAATGGACTAAAGACTGAAGTCCTGGAATTAAACTGTCCTCAAGTGATTTTATATTTTTTGAGTCTTTAAAAACAGAGTTGTCTTCAAGGAGTTTTGTATAAAAGTGACAGTAGTTAAATATTGTTTCTTCTACCACAGATTCTTCAGACTGTTCGAGCACCAGGGCAGAGGCAAGCAGCAGGAATTGAGGTGAGATTTTATTTCCCTGACTAGTATTGATTTCTCAATACACAAAGCATTATTTCCTAAAACCTCTACTTAGACCACTTAGACTGTGTGGATTATTTTATTTACAATGAAGGCAAAATTATGTAATTGACAGAGGGTGTGATAGCACTGTTATCTAGAAGACTGAAACAATTTTGATGATAAATACAATGAGAAAAATAAGTATTTGAACAGTCTGCGACTTTGCAAGTTCTCCCACTTAGAAATCATGGAGGGGTCTGAAATTTTCATCTTAGGTGCATGTCCACTGTGAGAGACATAATCTAAAAAAAAAAAAATCCAGAAATCATAATGTATGATTTTTTAAAATAATTAATTTGTGTGTTACTGCTGCAAATAAGTATTTGAACACCTTTGAAAATAAATGTTAATATTTGGTACAGTATCCTTTGTTTGCAGTTACAGAGGTCAAAGGTTTCCTCTAGTGTTTCACCAGGTGTGCACACACTGCAGCAGATATTTTGACCCATTCCTCCACAGATCTTCTCTAGATCAGCCAGGTTTCTGGGCTGTCGCTGAGAAACATGGAGTTTGAGCTCCCTCCAAAGATTTTCTATAGGGTTTAGGTCTGGAGACTGGCTAGGCCACTCCAGAACCTTGATATGCTTCTTACGGAGCCACTCCTTGGTTCTCCTGGCTGTGTGCTTCGGGTCATTTTCATGTTGGAAGATCCATCCACGACCCATCTTCAATGCTCGAGGGAAGGAGGTTGTTCCCCAAAATCTCACAATACATGGCCCCGGTCATCCTCTCCTTAATACAGTGCAGTCGTCCTGTCTCATGTGCAGAAAAACACCCCCAAAGCATGATGCTTCCACCCCCATGCTTCACAGTAGGTGAAGCATGGGGGTGGAATCTGGTGTTTTTGGGATGGTACTCATCTTTCTTCGTCCTCCAAACACGGCGAGTGGAATTAAGACCAAAAAATTATATTTTGGTCTCATCTGACCACAGAACTTTCTCCCACGACTCCTCTGGATCTTCCAAATGGTCATGGGCAAACTTAGGATGGGCCTGGACGTGTGCTGATTTAAGCAGGGGAACCTTCCGTGCCATGCATGATTTTAAACTATGACATCACAGTAACCTTGGAAGCAGTGATGCCAGCTCTCTTCGGGTCATTGACCAGCTCCTCCCGTGTAGTTCTGGGCTGATTCCTCACCTTTCTTAGGATCATTGATATGCCACGAGGTGAGATCTTGCATGGAGCCCCAGTCCGAGGGAGATTGACAGTCATGTTTAGCTTCTTCCATTTTCTAATAATTGCTCCAACAGTTGATCTTTTTTCACCAAGCTGCTTGGCACTTGCCCCGTAGCCCTTTCCAGCCTTGTGGAGATCTACAATTCTGTCTCTGGTGTCTTTGGACAACTCTTTGGTCTTAGTCATGTTAATAGTTGGAGTCTTACTGATTGTGTGGGGTGGACAGGTGTCTTTATGCAGCTAACCACCTCAAACAGGTGCTTCTGATTTAGATTAATAAGTGGAGTGGAGGTGGAGTTTTTAGAGGTGGACTAACAGGTCTTTGAGGACTAGAATTGTTGCTGATTGGCAGGTGTTCAAATACTTATTTGCAGCAGTAACACACAAATAAATTATTTAAAAAATCATACATTGTGATTTCCAGATTTTTTTTTAGATTATGTCTCTCACAGTGGACTTGCACCTAAGATTAAAATTTCAGACCCCTCCATGATTTCTAAGTGGGAGAACTTGCAAAGTCGCTGGGTGGTCAAATACTTATTTTCCTCACTGTAACAGCTAAAGAAATAATTAAGTTTTCTTGTAAAATTTGATCAAATTTTCACTTGGCACAATTCAGTCATAACTAAAGCCCAAATATTGAACCACATAAGTCATTTGTGCTTTATATAAATGCTCTTTTTATGACACTGATTTTCTATTTTTTTGTATTGTGCTTATAAGGAGATGCACATGTGACAACTTGTTTTTTGTGGCTTAGGTTGAGCTGAATGAGATCGAGTCCAGCTGTGAGGAGTACCCTTTGACGCGAGCCTTCTGCCATCTGATCAGCACATTAGTTGACAGCAGCGTGCCTCTTAATTTAGGGGCAGGTCTACGTGTGCCAGGCTTTCAGCCCTATTTGAACTTCTTACGTGAATCGGTATTCCTCTCCTTTCCCACAAGAGCATATCGCTGTCCTGCTGAAAAGGTAATTATCCATTCTGGAAGATGTGGGATTGTTGTTCAAGCGTGAAAATATTGACTTGCGTGTATGCGAACTTGTGTTCAAGTTTTACAAACATTATTTATTTCTGTTTTCTCAGTGGGAGGTAGCTGATTCTGTCCTGGAGGTGTTCCACAAGCTGCTGCGGAGCTACGAGCCTCAGCCATCAGATTTTATTCAGGAGACTGTGGAGTTGCAGGGAGAGCAGGTCCCTGCAGACAAGCCCCCCGGACACAGCATCATGTTTCACCTGCTTAACGACTCGCCCATGCTCGCTCTCTGCCTGAGTCTGCTGGAGGAGGGTGTGCGCCAGCTGGACACTTACGCACCCTTTCCTGGTGAGCATGCATCTGCTACAGCTGTCAGAGAAATACAATTGTGTGTGTGTAGTTTTTTCAGACAATTTGGTCCATCTCTTACAGGTAAAAAGCACCTGGAGTCAGCAGCGCTGCACTGCCTCTGCCTTTTGGATTTGGCTCTGCAGAAGGAGGTGGTGTTCATGGACCTCCTCAGGGAGAGCCAAGCTTCTCTGATTGTGTCTCCACTGGAGCAGCTCTTCCAGGGAGTCAGTTCTCAAACCCGAAGGGCCGATCACATTATCAACATTGCCAGGTAGGGAAATAATTTTTTTCTTATGAGAATTTTTGTAAAGAAGGTTTTAATTCAATTCATTCAACCTTTATTTATACGGGTTAGTCCCATTGAACGTCGAGGACTCATTTACAAGAGAGACCTGTTTTTAACAAAGAATGATGACAACAGTAGACAATCTTAAAAGAAGGCATATAAATTGATAAAAAAGGAAGAAAATTATGTTAAAAATTAACAGCTACAGTATCAAGATTTATAAAATACTAAAAACAGGAATATGGAATATGTCTGCGCTGGTTTTTGCCCTGGAACTTAACAGATGTTTAAAGCCACTTTGAGAGGTCAAGGTCGAGAGCTTCAGATGTTTTTGCTAGATATTCCAGGAAACAGGAGCGGAGTAGGAGAAGGCCCTTTTGCCAAGTTCAGTCCGTAATGAGGGAACACTGCATGTAATAATGTCCTGAGATCGCACTCCGTAGCTGCACTCACACAGAGACATGTAGGAGGAGATGTATGAAGGCAACAGACCAAGAAGTGATTTAAAGATGAAAATGTACCAGTGAGAGAGTCTGTGTGAAGTTAATGATGACCAGTTAACCAGTGAATACAGGGTGCAGTGATGGGTACGATGGTTACAGCCAGTTATGAGTCTTAGCGCACCATGACAGACAGCATCCAACATCTTAAAGGTGCTTGTAGGGGCATTCATGTAAATAATGTCACCTTAGTCAATGGATGGAAGGAAAGTCAAAGTTACAAGGTGTTTTCTATCATTCAGAGTTAGACTGAAAAATAAACCCAGTTTCACTTTCAGTTTCTTTACTAAGTTTTTCTATTTGGAGCTTAAAAGAGAGATGTGAATCGACCAAGATACACAAATATTTGTAGGGATCGACAAAATAAATAGGAGCAACATTTGAAGATAAAATCGAGAGAAGGACTGCTGGGACTGACTTCCTGTTTAAAAACAACATCCCTTTGGTTTAGTCTGCGTTTAGCTCAAGTTTGAGACTAACCAAATCTGACCGGATGATGTCAAAAGCAGATTGCAAAAGCTGGAAAACCTTAGCCACTGTTTTAGTTCGACAGTAAAAACTGTATTATCAGCATAAAAATGTAAGGATGCATCAGGGATGGTCTGACATGCATTATCTATGTATGGTAGATTGTGAAGAGGGTGGGACCTAAGACTGAACCTTGTGGTACACCATTGTTAACAGATAACTCTATGAAGTACCATTATGTTGAACACATTGCCTCCGATCTGAGAGATAGTTATAATTACTTTATATATTTTCAGTCTGTTTTGTTTGAAATTTAAACCTCTCTTTGAGTCGTAAGTATTTATATATTGCGATAATAAAAGTTCACAATTGATGTATCTGAGTGGAGTAACATTATTTGTCTCTTGCAGGTATCTTTACCACAGCAGCTCCAACCCAGAGGCGGCTTTTCAGAGTGCAAAGATCCTTCGTCGCATCGCTAACTACCCCAACATTCAGATGAGGCTGGTGGGAGATTTCACACACGACCAGGTATGTGCAAGTCTCATTAGTTTTAGAGTTCTAAATATTATTTCTTTTATTCAATTAATTACGCAATTTTAGTTTTATAATATAATTTGGGTTTAAAGTTAGATATAAGCTATGACCTGAATGCAGTTTTCAGAAAGGTATAGTGTGTTTTATTCACTATGTCTGAAGCAAAATTTTGTTTGTGTTCTTCAGGCTGTGAGTGAGAAGCTTATGGCCGGCTTTGTGGAGTGTCTAGACAATGAAGAAGCAGAAGAGGGAACAGAAAAAGAAGATGGTAATTCTTGTTTTGTACTTATGTACTACATAACATTTAAATATTCTACACCAATTGTACCGGTAGTTAAAATTTTGAGAAAGATGAGATAGTATCTGAAAACCATGAGTTAAACTGAACAGTTTTCTTAACCTTCAGATTTAGACCAACAAAAAAAAGTGGCAAGAATCCGACATAAAACCCAGATTCATATCCTGAATCTGCTCATCACCTCCTTGGAGCTGAAGGCACCCAATCTGGCCCTTTACCTTTTGGGTTATGACGTCAAGAAGCCTGTGTCTTCAACAAATCTTCAGGACCCAGGTTAGGGTTTCAAATGAACATGTTGGTTTGGACTATTGTTGTAATTTGTGTATTTTTAGCAACAAATTGTCTAAAAGTATTTTGTCTTTCTTGCTGTTTGTTGCAGGTGTGTTGGGATGTCCTCGTAGCTGCTTGCATGCTATCCTGAGTCTGCTGCAGAGAGGTACGGAGAAGAGATCAGGGCCGATACTCACACAGGAAGCCCCTCAGTTGGCAGAGCTCTGCTACCAGGTAACAACAATAAGAAGGTGCTTTGACTTATTATTGACTGGCCATAAAAAAACTGTTTATATTCCATTCAAGGCCTATGAAAATAACGTTTGACTATCTAACACCCTCTCTTCCTCTCTCAGGTGATCTATCAGTTGTGTGCCTGCCCGGACACATCTGGACCTGCGATGCGCTATCTGAGGACCAGCCAGGACTTCCTGTTCTCTCATTTGCAACACCTACCCTTCGTTTTGCCTGGTGAGTTCAGGGTCCCTGCGAAGTTATTCAAATAATTACATTGCCAATAAATCTAAAATGTATAACAAAAGAACCCGGAAATAGCTAAGACTTATATATTGTGTGAATGCTTATTAAGCATTCACGCTATTGTGATTGTGTTTATATTTATTATTGCTACTTTAGCTATTCCGTACGTTTTTCAGCATCTATCTTGTGCCGCTGTTTTTGTGCTGTTTCAACATCATCAAAATGTTCAGCTCGTTCAAGAGAGGGGTGCTATGATTTTTGGCACTGGTGCAACTTTAGCTTTTTGGGATATTTATTCTTTTCTGCCATTTTTTCCCATTGAAAATGAATTGAGCTCATTTTATATCCTTCACATATTTAGATCTGTTTACAATCTTTTATTGCTCCCTTCACATTTTGTTCTGGGTCAGCTTCTTTCAGCTTCCTTAGGCAAATTAAAAAAAATCAGCTAATTTCAGCTGTTTTTCCAGCTGTTTTGTCCTTTCAGATTCTTTATAACTACAATATTTTTGTGCTTCTTCTAACTTATTTCAGCTAATTTCAGCTTGTTCTGCTCCTTTCATTTCTGCATTTCAGTTATTTCTGCTATTTCAGCTACTATTTAGCTGTTTTTATGCTAATTTTAGCTTTTTCAGTTTATTCCACATTTTTTGCACTCATTTAAGCTTTGTTCAGCCTAATTCAGCAAAAATGTGCTCTCTTAACTTGCTTCTTGTAATTTAAGCTTTCTACTTTTTTTAGCTACTGTTTAGCTGTTTTTTTTTTTTAATTCTGCTTTCTTCAGATAATTTCCACTTTTAGTGCTCATTTCTGCTTCATTAGGCCTAATTGGGCACAATTGTGCTCTCTCCACTTCAGGTAATTTAAGTTTATGTCTGCTATCTCAGTAATTTTTCAGCTATTTATTGCTAATTTCAGTTTTTTTTAAGCTTAATTTTTAGCTCGTTAATTTTTGTGTTCATGTCTGCTTATTTAAACCTTATTGAGCAAATATGTGTTCTTTCTGCTTTCTTCTGCTAACTTTGTCTAGCTCTTCCATTTCAGCATGTTTTTTAGCTACCAGTAATTTCAGATGTTTTCCAGCAAGTTCTTCTGCAGTAAGCATTCACACTGCATTTTTGCAGGAAATGCAATTTCTCTAGTTCTTTTTGGGATAAATTAATTAATGGAAAAGCATCCTAATGATAGTAGCTGTAATAAACTATATATATATATATTTTAAATATTCTTTTGGTTTTGTGTTTTGTCCTCAGGCAATCAGATCGCTGCTCTCTCCCAGATGTCGTGGCTCATGAAAACTGCTGCAATTGAGCTGAGAGTAACTTCACTGAATCGCCAGCGTTCACACACTCAGCGCCTCGTCAGCCTCCTGCTGGATGACCAGCCACACCCTCAGCACACAGGTCTGAACAATTACAGAATTGGATTCTCTCAATTTATCAAACATAATGCTCTTCTCTAAATGGTAAATGCCATCTTGCATTTTTCTTGGTCTTTAATGTGTTGATTTGTTTAAAAAATTTAGGATAAAAAAAAAAAACTAAAAGAAAATAAATATATTGACTACTTTAAACTGTTATCTACCTCACAAGTGGGCTCGAACTTACAATAACCATGACTAAAAGTACATGATTGGATGCACTTTAAGGACTTCATTTGTCTTGCTAGCCGATGGAGAATCAGGCATGGAAGAAGAGATCCGATCAGTCAATCGTTTTCTTAATTTTGACACAGTCTCTAAAGGTTTGTGCCTCATTAATCTCTCATTCAAGTCAAACGAGAGATTATAGAATGTAAATATTTCATAACTGAACTGTGTTGACTTTGTCTTGTTGCCATCAGTGCACAGGAAGTTGCTGAGTGTTCTGGATGAAATTGACTTCAGTCAGGATATGCCTGAACTGCTGCAGTTGGATTTCTTTGAACGGACTCAGATAGAACAGGTCATCTCCAACTGTGAGCATGTCAATGAGCAAGGACACACTGTGTGCAACGTTAAGGTGAAAATCCAGATGGAAAGTGGTCATTTAAAAAATTTTCCTCAGTTAATTGTTTTTGTCATAAATGTATTCTTGTTTTCCTCACAGTTGCTTCACAGAGTGCTGGTGGCTGAGATAAATGCACTGCAAGGAATGGCAGCAATCGGACAGAGGCCTCTTTTGTTGGAAGTAAGTGAACTTTTTGGGGACTTATTTTTAATTTTAAAAATGGAAAGTATTGTGGCACTTTTAAATGTGTGGTGTTGAGATATTTAAGATCAATTATTTTGCTGATGACTCAGTTAAAAAAAATGTATTTTTCAAATGTTGCAATCTAAAGTCTTTTATTTTTCTTCGGTGTTTGTGGTCACTTACAGTAGCCTACACCTCTGTCTAATTGTTTCCTTCATCCCTGGATATTTTCTTGTAGGAGGTGAACTCCATCCTTCAGCACGTGGTGGAACGTAATCGTGTTCGTCGGAGTCTGACAGCAAAGCGGCACGCTCTGCAGTCCTGGAGGAGTCTGGTGGAGACGCTGTTGACCGCCTGCCCAGCGGATCTCATACCTGCTGATGACAGGCAGCTCATCATCAGAGACTTCCTGCTGGATCTGCATGATAAAGTTAGTGAAGATCTTTTCAATTGCAGAAGTAATTACTGCATAATAGGCATTTTACTATAGTTTTGCAGCAGTTTGTGAAATTGCAAAACATCATTTGTAATAATAATAACAATCTACAGGGGTGTAATTTGATGGTTCTTGCATATCTTAATTGGTAAAATAATCCACCAAATTGTTTGTTATCCAGGTACTGTCAGAAGATGCAGCAGGAGAGTTGATGCCCATTGTTGCCGGAGCAGTTTTTACTCTGACAGCTCAGCTCAGCCAGTCAGTTCTCTCTGAGCAGCAGCAGGGGGTAGGATCTGAAACGTCCTCTGGCTTTGCCTCCATCGCTAACTCAGCCCTCCACCTGATCCTTCGCAAGCTGTTGGACTTCATCCTTTGCACAGGTGAGTAATTATTTAAAACCCCATTGACTCATGAATATTTATTTTCCACCTGCATGTTAGTCAAAACAAACATCTGTAATGATCTAAGGAGGTGGATACCAGCGTCTGCGTGCTCACCTGTATGGCTCTCTGCTGTATTACCTGCAAATTGCCCAGAAACCTGATGAACCAGACACTTTGCAGTCAGGTATAACAGAAAAAAAATATTACAAATGATCGCAAACACTTTATCCATTTAACAAAATTTTAAAGGAACGTAATCGTTTTGTTCTTGCAGCTGGGAAAGCTATGTGGGAGCGTCTCACAGCTCCTGAAGATGGATTCTCCAAACTGCAGAGAGAGAACCTAGCGATCATTGAAAGCTATGGCAAGGCTCTCATGGAGGTTGTGTGTAGGGATGCCTGTGATGGCCATGAAATAAGCAGGGTAATGTTCAAAATGTTCCGGAGAAAATGTGTGTTTTTTCTGTGTTCTCAACCCTATACAAATGTTTTTCTTCCCAGTAATAATTTGATCCTACACTGTACAATTACATTGAAGTCAGACTGTTTATTTAACACCTACTGGTTTTCTTTATTGTCAGATGCTCGCTCTGGCAGTTTTGGACCGTATCCTGTCTATAGATCGTCAGAATCAGTGGCTGCTTTACGTGTGCAACAGTGGCTACCTGCGTTCATTGGTGGAGAGTTTGAGACAAGATGATGTTGCACTGCAGAGCCTTCTCACTCCCCAGCCACCGCTCCTAAAACCATTATACATCTATGAGAGCAAGATGGTTAGGAACTCATTATTTTTTGTGTGTATTGTTGCTTTTAAAAATCCCAAATCTGTCTTTTTTTGGGATTCTGATCTGTCCTGTGTGCCCTTAGGTTCTGCTAACACGTGTGGCTAAAACTGCCCAGGGAGCTGTGGAGCTGCTACGCTGTGGGCTGGTGGCACAACTGATTGAATGTCAGGTGTTCGACATGGTACCTGACAGTGATTCCCACAGGTAAGGAAGGAGAAACTGGCTGACTAATTCTCCTTGAATAATATTACAACATTTTTGTTTGCATTTTCATAATTGTAATTTAAGCATTTTCAACACATTCACAAACTGAGTTTTGACCAAATTATTTTAATGACAGAAAATTCTGTCAAACGTTTAAAGAGATAATTCAGAAAACATTTTTATTTTGGAAATGTCAGTTGTCTCAAAGTTTCCAGTTTTAGTATTCACATATATTTTTCTCGTTGTTTCCTTGTGGACTCAGGGTCATGAGGGATCCTTCTGGCTTTATCCCAACTCCTATGGACCGGTACAGGCAGATTCTTTTGCCAGCTTTGAGGCTCTTTCAGGTGATACTGACGTCTACGTCCATAAACCACCAGCAGGGGGCAGCACAGGTAAACAAATGTGACCAATTGTTTTGGATTTCTAATGTTCAGTTCAATTCAGTTTATTTATATAGTGCCAAATCACAACAGAAGTAATCTTAGGGCTCTGAACTACAAAAAAGCCAAATATTTAGCTGTTTTTTTGTGTGTGTGTACTAAGGAAGAAAGTAAGGTCTTTTACAAGTATAGGCGCCATTAAATTCCTGTTAAGCTAAAATAATTGTTGCTTTTGACTAAGGGGCTAGACAAATCAAATTAGGATTTGATGTTGACTAACAATTTTTTGTTTGTGTAGGTTCTCCAGTGGCTTATAGTCCATGCTGACACCATTCAGTCTCTGCTGCGCTGTCAGGAGCTCAGTATAGGTGCTTTGCAGGAGCTCTCTTTGCTTACTGGCATAATCAGTAAAACTGCTCTACCAGGTACAAAAATATCATACCAAGCAAAACAGAGACATAATTCTTAATTAATTTTTCTCTTGTCCTCATTTATTCTTCTTCAAATCTTTTGTTCTTATAATCTGACTCAGTAAATGATGTTTATGCTCGTTTAGGTGTTTTTGAAATGGGTGGAGAGATCAACAGTGCTGCCCTTATGGAATTCCAGGGTCACATTAATCGATTCCAGGTAAGACAAAAAGTCTAAAACTTTGTTCCATACAATACTGCATCTGGATTCGTTCTAATGGGTCTCTCTCTCAGCTGGTAACAAGCCTCTCCTTTTGCAGCGTTTGTGTCTGTCCTTGCTGGGCCGCTTGGCAGGAAGTGAGCGGGAGAGATTGTTAAAGCAGGCTGAGATTTCTGCACCTGGAGACTCAGCTAAACAGCAAGAAGAGATGGAGGTGGCCATGCTGCAGGTTAGACGATCATCCTTTATTAAACTAGACGCAGTAAATTACCGTAATTTCTTCCGTACTTGTTGCACTACCCTAGAAGTCTCATCAGTCCAAATTTGTCTAAAAAAGTGGAAAAATCCATAAATATGTCGCTTCGCCGTGTACGTCGCATCTATTATGCATCACTGCTGATGCGTTGCGTTTGTTATGCGTCACTGCTGATAACCTGGCAACAGGGGCCGGTGTTGTGCCAAAAATTAATGGGCTGCCAAATGGTGGCCACAGGAGCGTTGATGGGAAGACTTTAACAATAATTTAACAAGATTAACACTTAAAAACAATTATTTGTTTGCTCGAAATTATAGTGAAAGTGTGTCTCAGTCGAATGTTTGATTAATAAAATGACTTTACTGGTCAAATCAGCTGCATTTCAGAAGTATGCGCTGCCTCTGTGCTCCGGGAGTGCGCAGAGGGAGGAAAAAAAATGTAGGAACTCTGCTTGTTTCTTCAAGATACAACAGCATGCCTTATTACTACTACTACTTTGCTGCCATTAAGTGGCTGAAAGTGGTACTGCTCTATTTTTTTCAGTCAAAATGAATGAAAATGATTATATCTCAGCCAAAAATTGGTTTATAAATATGGGAAAAAAAATCCATAAATACATTGTTTCGGCCTATAAGTCGCAGGGCATGCAAATCATGCAAAAAAACCCCCCAAAAAACCGCGACTTATATGCCGAAAAATACGGTACTGTTAGGTTTCCATTTACCAGTAAACCAAGTTCTCCAAATGAACACTAAGAAACATTCTTAGACGGTTTCACAGTGTTTAAAACTGTATTTATACTTTTAGTCAGTTTTGTAGAGCCAGCAACCTAACTTGTGACTTGTGAACCTAACTCTGTCTTCTAGGTGTGTGCCAACATCATGGAGTACTGCCAAACTCTTTTACTGCAGAGTTCTTCTCAGGCTCAGTTCAGCATCTGTCTGTTCAGCCCGTCAGGCAGTGAACCAGCTGGCAGAGATGGAGGACGCTCGGGTTAGTGATACATACTTTAAAAGAAGAAGACCTGAATCAAGTCATTGTTAAACATTTAATTTTTTTGCATTTTGAAATACTGCTCTTCTTCCTACCAATCATCTTAGAAATCTAAAAACTTTTAATTGTCTGTGTAACTTTATTCTTTCAGAAGCTCTCAACTCCTTAAGTTTTTTTTGTCTTTTTCAGATCTTTCCTCTTCTCTTCCGTCAATCATTCACTCACGGGTTCCTAGCCTTGGTCTGGTCCTTTACCTGCTGAAGAATAGTGCTGCAGAGTTTTTCCAGTTCCACCAAAGTCATCGACAAAGTCTGGGCAAGCTGCAGAACCTGGATCAGCTGCCTCCAGAGGAGCTCAAGGAGGTAATGATGGAACAGTTTTTATACAGCCCCAAAAAATAATCACAGATGGACAAGTGAGAATGTATCTCGTGTTTAATTGTAGACTGCTTTTTGTTGCTTTAAAAGGTTAATTGTCAATTTCACAACTATTCTAAAATATTTAAAATGCTTTCTTGACTACAGATCTAACAAACTCCTTGATTTACTTATTTTAGAACCAAAGGGAGCTCTAGCCAAAAAAAAAAAAAATCAGTATTGGTACTATATGGTACTATAGTAAATTGTGACTTTAAACATTTTAAATGTATATTTTTAGGCACATAAAGATATACATTTGTGACAACTTGTCTCTTTCTAGCATTTTAATGTAATTTTTTTAAACAGTGTATTTGATAGCATAATTTTGTCCATGTAGTTGTGCCAAGGCCTGGTATCTGGTCCAGGAGGAGTGGAGAAGATCTCTTCAATCCAGAGGAGCTTGCTTGCCAAGAGGCGGCTGGTCCAACTTATCAACAACAGAGCCAAGCTGCTCGCTCTGTGCTCTTGTATCCTTTGGTTGTTCACATGGCATCGATTGCAAATACTGACCTTTTCTAACTCACTGAGTTTATAAAATCTGTAAAAGAATATAGTGTATGCTGTTATTCCATGCTTTCTATCTTCTATAGTGTTTTAATATATCAAGGAGATAAAGCTGAAATACAAGAAATGCCTTAACTTACCTGTTTCGCAGATGTTATTGAGACCAGTTTGTTTGTGTTGTGGCGCCACCTGGAGTACTACCTGTTGCATTGCACCCCCACTGACCCCAAGGACTCCCTGCTGCCTGGAGCCAGTTTATTCAGGTCCCGCCTCACAGATGGTAAGAAAATCATTTAAAAACTGTACACAGACAGAAGTTAAAAGTAAGAAAGTTTATATTAAGTATTATTTTGATTAAAAGCAGACCAGGTACAGCGAGTTTGGAGACAGAATGGTTTATTATTATGCTTAAGTTAAGTGCACCTCCAACAAATTTAATGTTTAAAACTTATTAGGTCTACGCTCGCATTGTCTATAAAGTTTTGTATTTGTATTTTTTGTTGGAAAATAATAGAGGAGCCCCCCCTTGTTTCATCAGTGTGTTAAAGATCTCCATGTTGTAGCTGGTGTTGGTTCTGTAGTTAATTGAGAAAGGCATTATCTTCTTTTATTAAAGAAAGTGTGAGGTGACAAGATAGACATGAAATTCAGGTCAAAATGGTTTGATTGTGAAAAGAAATCTGTTACAGATCTTTGTTTTGTTTTTTTTGCTTTCTGTGGAGACGCTTTTCTTTCCTTTTCTATTAAAAAATAACAACCAAAAGCAGCAACATGTTGAATCAGCAGCTTTTCCCCCCGGCTTGTAAAACTGTGACATTTTTCTTTTTGTGACATAAATTGTCATCAATCCAAAATGTTTTGTGCACATGGACTGCTGGTCGTTTCAAATAAGAGACACATGCTAAATTTTGAAATCAACTATATACCGTATTTTCCACCATACATGTCGCACTGCCGTATAAATCGCATCTATTATGCGCCACGTTTGTTCCGCGTCACCACTGACGACCCAGAAATGTGGGACGGTGTTGTGCCAAAAATTGACTGGCTGCCAAATGGCGGCTGCGGGAGCATACACAGGAGGACTTTAACAAGATTAACACTTAAAAACAATTATTTGTTTGCTTGAAATTACAGTAAAAGTGTGTCTCAGTATAACTTTTGCTTAATAAATGCACTTTGACGGTCAAATCAGCTGCATTTCAAAAGCTGATTCGCAGAAGCGGGAGCGCGCAGAGGGATGAGTCGCTGTTCATTTCTTTGAAATTTAACAAGATAGCCACCTAAAACAAAGTTTTTTTTTGCTCGACTTTATAGTAAAGGTGTGTCTCAGTTTAACTTTTACTTAATACAAGGACTTTAACGGTCAAATCGGCTGTATTTCAATAGTATTTACTGCCTCGGTGCACCGGGAGCTCACAGAGGGAGGAAATCAGGAAGGAGGAACACTGTGCATTTCTTCAAAATTTAACAAGAGGAGCACCTAAAACAATGTTTTGTTTGCTCGACATTATAGTAAAGGTGTGTCTCAGTTGAACTTTTACTTAATAAATGCAATGGTCAAATCAGCTTCATTTCGCAGTGAAATGAAGCTGATTTGACGGTTTCTCCAGGCATGATCCCGGAGCTGGACGAAGGTGGCAGGCTATGGCAAGTAGATTGTGTCGTTAGTAACCACTTTTACCTATTACATGACACAACGGCACACCATACTGCTCGAGTGCCATCTAGTGGCTGAAAATGGTAGTGTTCAATATTTTCAGTGTCCGAATGAATGAAAATGGTCGTATCTCAGCCAAAAATTTGTTTATAAATGTGGGAAAGATCCATAATTAAGTCACTTCCGTGTATAAGTCGCAGGGCATGCAAATTATGCAAAAAAAAACCTGCGACTTGTAGGCCAAAAAATACGGTAGTTACATTAACAAAAGAAGGAATTTTTAGCTTTGTGAAACACAAACTTTTCTTTAGTCTTATTTACTGTTTGTTTCAGAATCATTTGGTGGTCTGCAGGCCGGCGGAGTCCATGGACTTGGCCTGTCTAGAGCTAGTCAGCAAGACCTGGACCTGGTAAGCAATGGCTGTAAAATGGCAGTAGCTGCATAAATATCTGTTGAGTCTCTAGCTACATTATTCTGAACTCCTCCGTCTTTTTTGCTGTTTTTGTGGGTGCAGTTGAAAGGTGACATGGCTGCAGGATTTGGGGAGGCTCTGCAGAGGAAACTGCTTGAAGTAGAAGGTCTTTACAGTCAAGTTCGCTCCCGCTACACCTTTATCCAGGCTCTCGTTCGTAGGATCCGCGGCCTGCTCCGACAGCCCAAAAGCTGAACGCAAAAGTGATCTAAAAGATTTGTAGCTTTTGACCTTTGAAGATAACCACCACCAGAAAACAGACTTTTTCATGTCCACGTTGCAGATTTATTCTAACTGGCCTCTTCAATGGGCTCTGGTGACACAGTTATAATGTGGCACATTTGGTGTCACCATTCTAATTATGTCAACTAATGGTGTGCAAGTAGTGCTGTTTGTAGAACACACTGCAGGTATTTTTACTTCAAATGATTTTGATATTCTTTTGGTTGTTCTGATGTCTCTTTATTTTTGTGAAAATAAATCTTTTCTAAATATGTTAAATTCTTGTCACTAAAAATAATTTAATTTAGCTGGTAACTGTGACTCAATGAACAGTTTGGTTGACTTTACTCAGCGTCTATAAATTCAAATGTCTCTTGATTTCTTCATCTGTTTAATGGCTCTTTTTATTGCATGTACACACAGATTGTTTTGTGACCTTTTGTTATAGGCAAACTGACAATTGTGTCAAATACTTGAAACTGACAAAAAAAAAAAAAAGAAAATCAGCCACTGCTTTAGAATTATGGTTAAAAAAATATTAAAATGGCCTTTACAAAAAAAAAAAAAAAGATGACACCTTAACATTTTGTTGCACATCTTTTTGAGGCAGTCACTGTTGGATAAAAATATCCTCTATTCATCTTACTTACTCAAAGAAACCCCACTTGTCAGCAGAAGATTTTTAACTGGTTTTACCTGTAAGGGCAAACTGTCACGACTGGTTACACAGATGCTCTACATGCATGGAGTCCAGTCACGAGAATCTGCAGCGTGCAAGAACCGTTATTTAAATGCTCATCAGCTCTCGGCTCAGAAGCGGGCACTGATTACCTCGGCCACACAGCACATGCAGCACAGGATCGAACCAGCTCATTCAGCTCTCAGAGAACAGAACTCGGGTAACTCAAACACATGCTTCGTGGGCAGTTAACATTCTCAGCCTTAGAATAGTTAAAAACATCCATAAACCTTGACCAAACGTCCTCTGACAGTCACTTCCTGTGAGCAAACTGCTCCAGCTGTCTCAGGTTTGAAGGGTTCCTTCTCCAGTGCATGTTTCAGCTCCTTCCATATGTTTGAAAGAATTTAGATCAGGGAGAACCACTTCAGAATAGTCCAATGTTTTGATTTTAGCCATTCTTGGTTTTTTTTTTAGCTGTGTTTTGGCTCTTTGGAGGACCAGTGACGGAGACCAAGCTTTATGACACAAGGCAGCACATTTTGCTCCACAGTGCCTTGATAGTCTTGAGATTTCATTGCACCTTGTGCCAGATGCAACAAAGCAACCCCAGAACACAAAAAGAGTAAATCATGCCATCCGAAAGACTTCATCAGTCTGGCCTGCCAGCCAGGTCTGTCCTATAAATAGCACCTTGTGGCAGACACAAACATATTTCACACCAGAATGTAGGCTCTTATTGTGAAAGGGAGATAATAGAGAAGACCCAACGGTTGTCATCCATTCTTTTTTTTGGTTTTAATGTTGAAAGACGTTGAGAATAAAGCGAGACTCAAAACTTTTTGTCTCTTTTTGCCGATTTCCACATCAGTGACCCTGACGTGATTCAATGTGGAAGTCAGCAGAAAGAGATGAAAAGTATTTTGAGTCTCGCTTTATTCTCAACGTCTTCCAACATTAAAACCAGAAAAAAAGAATAGATGACAACTGTTGGGTCTTCTCATATTCTCTCCCTTTCACAATAAGAGCCTACATTCTGGTGTGAAATATATGTATGTCCGCCACTACCTCCTTGATGTTTCAAGCCCACCTCCTGTTGAGTTCCAAGAAACCGGCTTCTAACATGCAAAAAAGGAACCGTCCGTCCAAAACAATCATTCATCATCATACATAATATGTTTTAGGCGAGATAGCCAACTTGCTACTCACAGAAACAGCCTGAGGACACCAAGGCCAAAATGGTTCTGAAAAAGGGTTGTAAGCTCAATCATCCAGGTAGAGAAATCACAAAAAAGGTTAAAGGTCATCTGGACAAGTTTCTTTAAGGGAGAAACGTTTGAAACATCAAGGAGTTGCTATTCATGGGACAGATTTGGGTTGGCAGGCCGCAAACTGATGAAGTCTTTCGGATGAAGGTAAAGAAACTTGTTCGGATGACATGGTTTAACCTTTTTGTGTTTATCTACCAGGATGTCCGAGCTTACGAACCCTTTTCTCAACCCCAGAACACTCTGCATCTTCCATGTCAATCACGTGTAACAAACAGCAACTACTGGCTTCATCTCTTACTACAGACACATCTGGCTGACTCGTAAGCAGAAGCAAAACAAGGAACCAAAACAATCCACTTTGTGAAAGTAGCGTCATGAAAAGTACAAGAAACTAGAAATGTAGATTTGACAAGCAGTATACAAAACCAGACAGTCATTCAGACCAGACAAATCATTTAATGTCATTTATTTCTTTTGAAGATACACTTAAGAATGTAAAGTGCATCGATTCTCAAAACCTTTGGAAAGAGGAGTTGAAGGACACAAATCTAGCTTTACATTCATATTTATCAGACAGGTGTTGTGCTCTTGTTTTGGTATTTTTATTTTATTTGAACACCGAGAGGGAGAGACTCCAGAGAGGAGAATGAAGCATCGATCACCGGAGCAACAGGGTGAACACTTCACCTGTCTGCACCCTTACCAGCGACTGGAAAACGTTTTCTGATTTAGTAAACAAAAAAAAGTTTTACTTCTTGGTTGACTGGGAAAGAATAATTTTTTGCCAAGTCCATGCTTGTCACACTCTATAAATTATTTAAATAATGAATCTAATTACAGCCTTAAAATCATTTACATTTGTTGCATCAGCTTGCCTGATTTAATAAAATAAAAAATTCAACCTCTCAATGATGCGGATCTTTGCTTACTCCATGGGAAGTGAGGACTGTGGCAGTCATTTAGACACGCACCAAAAAAAAAAAAAATCAGGTTTTTATAGGCACCCTATTTTAAAATGCATGACTGCTGTGGGCCATTTTAATACAAACAGCAAAATACAGATCCTACCATATAATACAACATAATGAAGGGTTATGACTTTTCAATTTTTATTGTCAAGTACACATTTAATCCCTTATTTTCCACTTTTTCAGACTTAAAGGTTTAAATAATTCTCAGCATTTTAACAGGGCATTTGGAACCAATTCAACTACAGGAACTAGTTTATTTGGAGGGTAGCGCACCACTGGTCCTTTGTGGCTCAGGTCTGAATATAGTGTCTCTCCAATGTTACTGTAGTTCATGATGTAATGCATAAAAATCTTTGTTTAAACTATTATTGACTTTGAAATAACGGGGATTTAAATTTTAAAAAAGCTGCATTATGTGATATTTTTAAATAAAATTGTATCTACTAGGGCAGTAAATGGTGCAGAAAGGTTCACGTGGCGTTTAGTGTAACAAAGATTTGCCATATATGAAACTGAATGCATGAACTATTAACACATTAAAAAAAATCTATAATATCAAGATCTCGTTCAAATGAGCTGTATAAACATATTCATACAAGAGGTAACATAAAACTAACAAAAAAAAGGTTTGATTTATTTTTCCCATTCATTTGGCACCAAACGAAGCGGATATTTCAGACCCGAACAACTTACAAACTGCTCAAATGTTTTCTATTTAAACATTTTAACATTTGATTGAGAAATAGTTCCTTCAGCATCAGAAAAAATTAAATAAAAAATCTTTAACAGACTTCAGGTGGGAGATAAGAGGGACGAAATCATCGTCCAAAAATGATCGATGTGGAACCATCTTCGCAAAGAAAACGAGGAAAATACTGTAAATACATGATCATATCCAGATGTTATTTTTCCACAGAAGCAACGCTTGTGACTTATTACTGTACATAAAATACATTTTTTAATTTTTTAATAAAAACAACAAAAAAGTTGACTATACAGGAACATAAAATTAGAGCACCAGCAGACTTTAGTTTGGCTTGTCCTTATGTTTCAGGGCGCTGTGGCTGTCATCGAGGGGCTCCATAAAGACTGACTTTCAGCTCTCGCTCTTTTGTGGTTTTTTTAGTGCACGTGGGAGGAAGGAGAGTACATCCCGAAGCTCCTCTGCTCTAGTGTTGATTGAACTAGAAATGTTTGTTAGTAATCCAGCACAGTTCTAAAAGGAGAAAATCCAGGAGACAGCAGATGTAAAAGAAAAGGCAGCTTATCCAGCACTAATCGGTCCACTTTGACTTTAAGAATCAAGAATGTAAGGAAGCGTTTGCATTTCATCCACACTCCCTGTCCATCTGGAACTGTCCAGAACAGCAGTTTGAAAATAAAAAACTACAACAAAAGAAAAACGCACATCCACTCCAGTTATGTGCCGTCAGGTTTAGCTTCCTGTGTGTTGTTGCTGTCCGACGTGTTGGCACTGCTGCCGTTAGTCTCAAGTCGTGCAAGTATCTCTCCTGTCGACGCCTCTCGGATCACTTTCATCCAGCGCTGCTTCAGCTCCTCGGTCTCTGCAGCAAAGTTGTGGATGAACTTGGACTGACGAAGTTGGAAGCTGGCTGGGGGGTCTGTGGGTCGGGAGCTGTCTTCCACAGAGTAACCCAGTAGGGGTATGGCACACAGGGCCTTCACATCCTGCAGGAAAAGACGAGGAATCAGTGAATAACCCTGGAACAGCAGTACAGTAGTCCCTCACTATTGTGCGGTTCGACTTTCGTTGACTCGCTCTTTCGTGGTTTTTCAATGATTGTCAACTTTAATATTGCTCACGTGATTGGGATGATACGGGATAAAAAGTTAACAAAACAAAATAATATTTTGGACAGGCGCAGACATTTTGTAGTTTTCTTTCAATAAGCCTATATTGTAACGCCAGTCAAAAGAACTACACTACCCAGAAGCCAACAGTGCTTCCGGCCGCTGCTTTCTGCCGAAATGGAGGGAAAGTTTTGCAACGCAAAGTCAGAAGTAAAGATCGATTTATGAATCTCACAGAACTGACAGGAGTGTCTCAAACAATCCTGAGGCTTCCTAAAGCTCAATTATCCACGTGCACATCAACCGGGACACACAGGTGGGTTTTGTTGCTGCAGGGTAGATCTGCTGAACCAGAACCGAACCCGACTGGAACCGAGCTGCTGGTCTGCGGAGCTGCTGAGTAAAATTTTGCAGTATTGTACAGTACATATATGTATGTTGTTACAATAATATAGGTTTAAGAGTTTAGAATATTGCAAGAAGTGTTTCCCCTAGATAACTTGTCATGGAGGGGCGCTCATCTCGTCCGTGATTTTTGTTGGTGGGGGGGGGGGAACAGAGACACAGCTGAGCTGTGCGGTGTTTGTGCCAACAGTATGAGGGAAGAGGCAGCGTGAGCACGTTAACTTTTTAGCTAGCATGCATGTTTTGCACACTGCTAGCTTAGAGCTACGTCAGTGCTGACAGGTGTGTGTGGGGGGGTGGTGGTGGGGGGGTCCGTGCAGTTTGGTTCGGTAGGCAGGCCACTTGTATAATGGTAGGGGAAACACTGAAGAGTGTGGGAAGGATTTATAAACCCTTAAAATATATATAAATACTCAAATAAATATAGCGTTCCTACTTGGCAGTTTTTCACCTATCGCGGTGGTGTCTGGAACGTAACCCCCGCGATCATCGAGGGACTACTGTGTAAGTGTTTTGCTTCTGCTTTGAGCATTTGTTGTTTCACCTGTGGGGCTCCGTAGAGGTAGAGCACCACAGCCTCCTTCTCAGGGATCACACACCAAACCTTCTGCCAAGTTTTGCCTTTCTCCAAGTACTGCAGAAAGCCACAGATAATGCTGCTGTCTGCGAACTGACTGGCCTCAATCTGCAAAGAGAAAATCAAACTTTAAACTAACGTAACTCAGCTGGATGTTCTGCTCTATTTTTGGTTTATTTTCACTTTTGAGATTTCACGAGTTACACTTAAAACTATTAGTTAATACTAAACATACCTTCAAATGATGTTCAGCTTTCTTGTCAACTATTTTACTAATAATAATAATAATAATAATAATAATAATAATGTCATCACAATGTCAGCACTGTATGTTTCCATACAATGGCGAAATTAGTCTCTGCATTTAACCCATCCACCACCAGGTGGTGCAGTGGGCAGCTATTGAAAGCACCCGGGGGACATTTTGGGGATTAGACGTGCTGCCCAGAGACGCCACGTGATGTGCAGTGACTGGGGATCGAACCTGGGACTCTCGGGTCCCAAGCCGGCTGCCCTGCCTCTACACCATCTCGGCCCCATAAAAGTACTTGCAGAAAATTTATTCAAACGTCACCTCAAGAATGCCTTTCTTCTTGTCCTCAGTCACTCCTTTTCCCATCAGGATCAAGAAGCAGTCTTTGCAGACTTTGTTCACTTTGTAGCCGTCATATTCCAGCTGTGCCTTGTACTCGGAGCACTTCCAGCACACCACCTGTAAGACAAGGAAGTTGTTTCATTTGTTTGTTTTGTGAGAACGTAAACACGAGCGAAATGAAAACTGACTCCATCACGTGCGTTTTGGTTAAACCTAAATTTTTAATTCATAAATACAGCAGTCCCTCGTTTATTGCTAATTTCAGCTTGTTATGTCTTTCAGCTTAATTATGCTAGTTTCAGTCATTTCTGCTAGTTCAACTACTATTCATGCTAATTTTAGCTTTTTCAGCCAATTCCACGCTCATTTCAGCTCTTTCCATTTGCTTCTGGTAGTTTAAGTTTCTTTCTGCCTTTCAGCTACTTTTCAGACTTTTTTTTTTTGTGCCGATTTCAGCTTAAAAAATTTTTTTTTAGCTAATTTCCTAAATTTTTTTTGATAATTTCTGCTTATTTAAACCAATTTCAGCAAATATGTGTTCTTTCTGCTTTCTTCGGTCAATTTAGGCACGTTCTTCCATTTCAGCTACATTTCAGCATTTTTTTTTTGTTAATTTCAGCTGTTTTTCCTGCAGTTTCTTTAGCAATAAGCATTCATACTGCATTTTTGCAGGGAATGCAATTTCTCTAGTTAGAAGTGATTTAAAATCACCTCTGAGCTATCTATCTATTTGGTGCAAAGAATAATGTGATTTTTTAAGGTGAAATTTCAGCGTTTTTGTTTGACTGCATTAAACACGACAGCATCAGCAGAATAACTCACGTAGCCACAGGCTCTGCAGTGATGTCTCCGCCGTGTGATGGCGTTGAAAGACTCCTTACATTTCATACACATCGTCACTTCGTTGTCACGAATCCATCGAGGGGCCCGCTTTCCCAGCTCAGCTTCCTGTTTTAGACACAAAAAACAAACTCAGTGTGACAATACAAACAGATGTTGACAGTTTCACTGTGTTTGGTTCTGATAAGACACTAACCGACACGTGATCTACGTCCTTCAGAGCGTTCTTGAAGGACTCATTCTTCTGCTGGAAGATCTCGATTGTCTCCTGGAGAGCCTAAAAAAAGATAAGGAATCAAATGTACAGTAGTCCCTCATTTATCACGGGGTTTATAGGACCACGCCCCCGCGATAAGTGAAAAACCATGAAGTAGGGATACAGTAGTCCAAGTTTAAGTTTCACCCCCAAACTCCCACTTTCTGTGTAAATAAACAATTTAAATTCAAATACTGTAATATTTTAAATGAACAATCCACGCAGCATTTATTGTTTATTTAAATTGTTACAGTATTTAAATTTAAATTGTAGAGAAGAGAAGCGCAGCAGGATAGCAAAGGGTTAACCCTTCATGCACCTGATGCAGCACGGAGCAGAACTGTACTTCTTGATCAATTACACTGTAACAACTGAACATAGAAGTTTTAAAATAATAAAAAATAACTTTTAACACTTATATTTTGTGATTATGACAATTTTACGATGTGACATACTTTGAATTTTAAGTTGGGAGACAAAAGTCTATCGGTGCAGCTGGACAGCAAAGGGTTAACCCTTCATGAAGCTGCTTCAGCAGCAGAAATGTGGGCGTGGCAGAAAGATCATGACAGGCTGCAGAGGGAACTTCTCCCTGCACCTGTGGGCTGCTCACAGATGCAGCAGGTGCTAAATAATTTAGAATAATTTATTTTAAACAAACAATCCATGCTGCTCGTGTGGCTAATCCATCAATCAGCCAGATGTGCTTCATGTCCAATCTTACATTGAAAAACCACGAAAGGGCAAGTCTGCAAAAATCGAACCGCGAAGTAGCGAGGGACTACTGTACATTATTGAAACACTGGTTTAAAGCTCACCCCAAAAAAAAAGTATTTGACAGGATTATAGTGTCTGTACCTTAATCCAGCTGGCCTTGTCTTGCTCTGAGCTGAGAAAACAAAAAAAGGACAAAAAAATAAAAAATAAAATAACGCTTAAAATACACACACACAAAAAACAATTTGATGTTTTTTATTTAAATATAAAACTAGCCAGTTCAGCCATTTGTTATGGTTAAAATGTTTATTTAGAAGATTACAAAACTAAGAAAGAAATACATAATTAAAAAAAAATTTACTTAATACACATATATACACATATATACATATATACATATACATATATATACATATACATATACATATATACATATATACATACACATATATACATATACATATATACATATATACATAAACACATATATACATATACATATATACATAAACACATATATACATATATACATAAACACATATATACATATA